AGTTTGGACAGAACAACCTTCGCGCCCGTCTGGTACGCGGCCTCCAGTTTTTTGTAGATGATCTGCCACTCCGCATCGACGATAGCCTGGTATTCGGAAACTTGTTCGACTCGGACCTCGGCGTTATCTTTCTCGGCTTTCAGCTCGAGTTCGACGTTGAGGCACAGTACTTTAGGCTTCTTGAAGGACTTAGGTTGTTGTTCGAATCCGGCGTAGGAGAAGGTCTTCTTGAATGCGACGCCGTTTACGAATAAGGAATCCGTTAAAGAGCCCCCAGGTATCTTCTTCATACCAATGAGTTTTTCGTTGAGGTCGTCCTGGTCCAGCGAGAGCACAGCGTCCACGACCACTACCACGACTGTCAGCAAGGCGCACAGCGTACACAGTGATGAACATAAACATACTCTTGGTGAAGAATTCGGTGTTTCTCTTGATCAGTTTGCTTGTCATGGCGGTGCCGGCTAGCTTGCCGAGCGTTTCTCGCTGGTTCGATTCGTCCGTCCTGACGGCAATCTCCTTGATTTTGTTGACGGCCATAGTCGACGCTTTCCGCAGACCCTTGATGATGACCTGTGAACTGACACCCTGCTCGACATGTTCTTTGACTTCCTTCAGAATCTCGCCGGCCAGCACAACCACCGACGTCGTTCCATCTCCTACTTCGGCATCTTGCGACCTCGCAATATCGACGAGGATTCGGGCGGCGGGGTGCACGATATCGAGAAGCTGGAAGCTCGTGTGTCAGTGATAATCTGGGGCATGTGTAAATTTGTGTAAATCCTTGCCTTCATGACAGTTGCGCCGTCATTAGTAATAGTCTGCCGGCCATTTTCGTCGATCATCAGCAGGTCCCCGCCATAGGGACCGAGCGTCGACTTGATGGTGGCCTGCACAGCCTGACACGCGCTTATATTGGATATTATCTGGCCCTTTCCCTGTGATGTGTCGGTACCTAGGATGAGAGGGAGGTCCAGTCAGCATGAGGACACTTCGCTTCGCCGTCAAGGTAGCCGCATGATCTGGTGTTCTGGAATTTGACTGTAATTTGGGAGCGCGCGAGCTGGACTGACCCTCTTTCAGCACGATGATGGTGGGTGTTTGCCCCCCGAACGACATTTTGGTCTGAGTGCGCTGTTATATCAGGCTTCGAGAAGTGGTGTTTCGTTCGTCGTCGTTAGGTGTGGTGGGCAGTGTGCGCGGGGACCGGGGTGCGTATCGATTGTTGACTCTCTATAATTTGATGGTGGGAGCTTCAAGAGCTTCAAAAAATTATTGCAGCCTTTCAAGAACGCCAAGACTCAAACCCCGCCAAATCCATCTGCAGTGCCTAGGTACCCACAGGTAGGTGCCTACCCTAGCCAAGTCGGCGCTGAGGTAATGTATGACATAGATGCATATAGCTGAGTTTATGCATTCTGTTCTCATCTGTTTCGAAGTTCTGAGCATTATCGAGTTAATGAATCTTAGTGGGGCTCTACGTAACCTTAATTTCCATTTCCTTCCCTTGGCTGTGTTCACGAAACTGAAATAACCAACACCGTCAGCAATCAGTGATGCTTCACCGCTTGAATGCCACCTTGGAATACCATTTCCCGATTCTTCCGGGACATTAACTCATCGGCATAAGTTGAATAAATCATGTATTAATTTTCCTGATGATGATAATACAGTAACAGAACGAACATCACTACTTATTATAGCTGAAGTCTCAGCTTCTTATGAGCAAATGCTGAGAGAATCCGGGACACTGCCCACGGCGCTTAGGGTCGGAAAGCGATTCAAAACTCTAATACCTCACGCATGGGACGAAAACCTACCTTCCTAACACATAGCAACCACATGTCCACTGGAATATGGTAACCATGGTTCACAGCTGCCCTGTCTGCCAAAGGCGTCGCCGATGTCGACACAAATTTAAATGTGCTGGTGCCCGAGACCACGGGCATATGGAAATACTTATCTCATCCTTGTCCGTAACTGGACGGATGCAGTGTATTGCAAATTCACAGCCGATCGGCACCCTCTCAAGTATTTGAGTAAGGGCGGTTCTCTTATGTCGTATGAAGCAATGCCTCGCTGTACGAGAACAGAACCGCGCTTCTGGACACTGCTGCGGCTTACGCGGCTCTCGCGCTTTCGGCCCTTCGGCACCTCGAATCTGGGGGCAAGTATTGACGATGTGGCTACGGGGATTATGATCAATCTTGCCTCGATCAACGCCCAGCGCTTGTCATCCGGGCAAGTTGACGCCGCACCGGGATGCCCTTCGTCGGCTCCACAACGCTGACGAAGCGGGCCTCGGCGAGCCACGGGACGGCACCGTTGGTTCGGTAGTAGAGCGCATCGAAGATCGTGGGTCCCACCTGCTAAGTAGCCGCTACACCTCGAAGAAAAGGGCTAGTAATCGCATTTAGTCCTTCCCTCGCTACTCGCCAGTCCTGTTTCCGAAGACGGAGCCTGGAAGAGTTTTACCGGGTTTCATTGTATGCAAGTGCAAACCAAACCCCCGTGCGCCGCATCCCGTCACTGTCTTTTAATCTTGCATTGCAGCCTCTTCGATTATCCTTTAAATCTGTGCTGTCTCCTTACTCTTGCCGATTTGATCTGTGACATCAAAAATTTCCCGATAAAACCCATGTCTGTTGTGCCTCAGTATATGGCATCTGTATTGGTAATCTGTTCAGCATCTATTCTACATATCTAATATCTTTTACAACTCTACAATGGATGAAGAGAAATGCAACAGTGGCTCTGAGGCCCTTAGTGACCGTGATACCGTGTCATCCCACACGTCGTCTAAGCCTGATGTTTCTCGTCCAGATCTAGCCGAAAAAGAAGCATCTTTATCGGGGCACAATGCTCCCGCAAGCGATAGGCACAGTATAGACAGAGCGTCGGGAGATCTGAGGAGGACAGCAAGCAGAGTCCTCTCGAAGGTTGCGTCTCGAATAACAACCCGAGATTTACATGAGCCGTCGCCCCCTCCAGATGGAGGTCTAAAAGCAGTAAGCATATCTCGAATTCTCGTTCCGAGTTTCAGTTCCCAAATGGACAGTCTATTCTTCCGCATGTCGGCCATAGCACTATTGTATCACAGCCTTACAAGGCATCTTACACAACACCTTACTGATAACAACATCTGAATAGTGGACACAAGTGGCAATGGCCTTCATAGTGCTCTTCGCAACCTGGGGTTATGCGAATTCATTTGGGGCCTTCCAAACGTATTACACCCAGAACCTACCCGCCGCTCCTTCGTCGATTTCCTGGATCGGGGGTATCCAGATCTTCCTAACGTTAACGCTCGGCCTCATATCCGGAAGACTGCTCGATGCCGGCTACTTCCTACCGACGTTCTTCGTCGGAATCGTGATCCAGGTCCTAGGCATATTCCTCATGAGCATATCGACGCAGTACTGGCAATTGTTTCTTACTCAGGGCGTCCTCAGCGGCATCGGCGCCGGGATTTACTTCACTCCCGCCATTTCTCTAGTCAATACGTATTTCGACAAGCGTCGCGGCTTTGCCGTGGGACTGGGCACGGCGGGAAACTCCCTTGGTGGCGTCGTCTACCCCTTGGTCGTGCGGGAACTCATTCCTAAACTTGGTTTCGCGGTATGTACCTCTAGAGCCCCCGTGGTCTTATTTGGTGCCATTCCATCATTTCCCGCTCTTATCTTTTCGGTCTATGCTTTTAACAAAGAAAATGGAATGACTAATATTGGTATTGAAGTGGACGTCGAGGGTAATTGGGTTCCTCAACCTCGGAATACTTCTGATCGCCATCACGTTCATGCGAGCGAGATTGCCGCCCAGGAAATCGGGCCCTCTGCTCGAGCTATCAGCATTCAAAGAACCGAAGTATGCCGGGTTTCTCGTCGCGGCATTCTTTTCGTTTTGGGCGAACTACTACACATTCTACTACGTCAGTGCTTCCTTTCCGACTAACACCCTCCGAATCAGCATTAACAAACGTGATATCACAGATCGCCTCGTACGGAACACAAGCGCTAAATCTGTCCTACTCCTCCGCCTCTCTCCTCGTCGTCATCATCAACGGCGTCGGTCTTCCGTTCCGCATCTTCGTGCCCATGATCGCCGACCGCATCGGGAACATGAACGTGATCGTGCCTATATCGCTGATCTGGGTCGCCGTCAGCTTCAGCTGGCTCGCGGTGCACGACATCGGGGGCTACTACGCCTTCACTGTAGTCTACGGCATCATGTCCGCCAGTTTCCAGTGTCTCTTCCCCTCCACGATCTCCCGAATCAGCCCCAGGCTCGACACTATCGGCACGCGCCTCGGCATGGCGTTCAGCGTCAGCGCGCTGGCTTCTTTGACGGGCCCGCCGATCGGCGGAGCGATCCAGACGGCTGGGGGAGGGTACCAGGCCCCGCAGATTTGGGCTGCTGTGGTCACGCTGCTTTCGTTCATTTTGTTTGTCGCGCTTAGATGGCATATGGGAGGGTTGAATCTGAAGATTAAGTGCTAATGGCGAGGGGACGGGATGATCGGTCGTTGGATGTGCTGGGATATATGCACGATTTAGCATGAAGCGTGGTCTCCGTGAGAGTTACGACACCATCTCTTGCCTTGCACAGCTAGTTCCCAGTAGGTATATGGTATTACATGAAGATATAAGACTTTCACATGCACGTCGCGGGTCAACAACTCAATGGTATAGATTTCTTAATGCATAGAGATGTTAATGGAGCTCATCGCTCTTGATCTTTTTTAAACAAAGAAAGGTGCATACAACTGATGAAGAGTCGGTATGAGGTGAGAAATGGCGGGGAAAATATGGAATATGCAGCTGGCCCGATCTGAACGGACTAGTAGCCGTTGCGCCACAGCTCTGCCAATCGACGTGCAAGTTGCAACAAACAACCTTCGCCGGCGAACACATCAGGGAACCGCCAAGAAAAAAAACAAATCTCGACGCTAATCCGCTCGTACATCATGAACACGAACAAGAAAAAAAGATTGGCAACCTGGGAATTGAACCCAACCCGATTTGAACGGATGACCTCCTGGATGCAGTTTTATATGACCCTTCACCGGAAGGTGTGAGGTGCCTAAGAACTGGAATCAGGTGCTCTACCGCTGAGCTATAGGTCCCTAGGTCTTGGCGGTAATTGGCGAGTTCGTTGAAACACCGCCCGGTATTAGTGCTCTATGGTGCTAGGGCATGTAAGTTCGTACGAGTAGAGAGGGGGCAATTTAGCTCCGTAAGTGATTTTGCCGGCGCGGGGCGGCGGAGTAGGGGCACGGGAAAATGCTTAGCTAGTACTGTGCTGATAGGGAGGCATTTACAAGATCGCTACGCATCCAACTCACTTTTACAATATTGTCATAATTTGGGTAAGTTAGCAGAGCAATTCTTGCTGAGTGTTCTATTTTGCATCTTATACAGGGCACACAGATGTGAGAATGAGTGCTATTTACTTTCAGAAGACACTTTACAGATACGCGATAATTATTGTACTCCGATCTCATATCTCTCTATTTCTTTATCGCTCCTCCACACTGTCGCTTTGGCTCTAGCTTCGTTCTCATGCCAGCATTTCAATGCCGTGAGACATCTTTATGAGTGTAATAAACTAGTTTCATTGCTGCTAATTTCCCTACCTCTTTTACATTAATTAGGTAGACAGATTAAGGGACTCGTTTCTTTGACATCGGGTGTTCGCATCAACGGAACCGTATATACCATACTAGTTGAAGGTTGGCTAGCTTCTTGTAGGAATTAAGGAGCTCCGTTTGTGCTGCAGTAAGATCCCTCTTCAAGTCTTAAGAATTGTTATATACCCAGTTGATATTGTTATAAAGTTAGGGGGTGCGCTAAATAGGAGCAGTTTCTATATGTGCTCATAGGGTCCGAGGTCGTCACTGACAAGCACGGCGACCGACCCTCTCCGCATTCATAACAAGTTAACAAGCCGAACGATTGATACAATTTAGATTAAATGATTGTCTCCCCTGAAATTGGTTTCAAAGAACGAGATTATCTGGCCTTTTTTTTTTGAAGATGACAATGGTTGTTATCTCGTTCCCGCGCTGCTTCACGATAAATTCGTGCTAAACACAACGGATAGCTCGAATTATTGATTGAATTACGCAGCAAATAAATACCCGACTATATTATCAGGTGGATATTTACACCAGGATGGTTATAGCCACTTTGTCACCTATATATTGGTCCGTTGGAATTCTGAACAACTTTTTGGGAGGTTCAGGAGTCAATCGATCATGCTACGAAGCCCTAAACTACACTTTCATCTATAACCTCACTGCGACCCAGCTATGAACAGGCTTCTATTCACTCTGTGACCAATACCATCTGACATTATAGCGCTCCTGCATCTCAAAGTAGAAGCTTCCTTCTTTTTCGGCGAGTTTCATTCATTCGAATTTGTCTCCGTCCTCCTCAACGTTTATGCCGCGTCCTTCTAATCCATTTCTTGTCTTCCTCCAAGCGGATTTGATAAGGCTTTAGCATCCCTTGCCGTAGGAATTTCTACCAGGTCACCTGTTTCAGGCTGTTGTGTGGATCTGGCGGATCTTTAGAGTCTATGTCTTCCTCGACGAGTTACCCGTGACAGGCTGAAAGATAGTAGTTGCTAGTAGCCGCGGGAGGAAAAGGGCGACTGCGTCTTCTGCCATAACGACTTAGGGCAACATAACATCATAGTTGATCCCAAAACCCTGAAGATCAACACTATTGTTTATTTAGAATTTGGCGAGTTCTAGCCCAAATGATTCGAGCGATGCTTTTGGGAGAGAAATGGATTCAGCTCCGCATTGGAAGGGGAAGAGGATGATGTAGAGCGTTGTTGCGAATGGCTGGTGGGCTACTGCGAAGAAATAGTCATGCCACATCTGAAAGGGGTCTGTGAGAAGGTCTTCGTTCTGTACTCATGCGTCCAACTCTTGCTGATGTTCGCAGCGGTCAAAGTCGGAACCGGTGCAGATTGACCACACTCGGAAAGGAAACATTTACACTTGCTCTTTGAACGGTATGTATATATAGCATTCAAGTCAATATACTAATAGGCAGTAGAATGGCCATGATGTTTGTTATACAGGTATGCGTTAGCCTCCGATATAATTGCAACTGGGAGTCTTCATCTTTATACCACTATCAACTATCACTAGAGGCACACTACGTAACGGTATTGAGGCTCCTTTGACCATACTGACGTAGCCTCCTGATAGATTGATAGCCAAGTTTGAGATTGCTTCGAAGTACTTCCCTAATCGTCTCTATATGCAGGTATATAAAAGCTACTCCCTTTAGAAATGTATCTCATGTTGCTTGGTTTCGATTTTCTTGAACAATAAGCAACAACAACAAGTACGTGATCTTAGAGAACTAATTGGGAGGCTCTATAGAGCATCCTCATTGCTATGCACGATTTTCTACGATGTTTTCGAATAGCTCGGGATTTTTTTCGCGTGAGATCATCGTGCTGCGGCGAGGTGGGCACTACAGCTGCACTGCAGAGCTCGGAACCGTTGATGAATTAGCTGAGAACAAATCTATATCGATCCGGAATCCGCATGGGATGTTTTTACAGTTAGGGACATCGACCTTATCGTACTTCAATTGCATGCAGTGGGCTTGGGTTATCCCGACTCGGAAAGGTTGATGCCAACCACAGTGTGTGATTCGCTGCTGCGATATATCGGATACGGAAACTAAATTGATGTGGCGCTGGTACGGAGTTTCCGTGGCGATCACTGACTGTAACGCGAAATATTGGTCACGAGAATTGTGTGATACCGCGTGGCTTATTATCTATCATCTCAGCTTATTCGAAAGTCGCAATTCTCCCCTGAAGCACACGAGCTCAATGGAGGTCAGACACGCATTATCAAATATTAATTTGCCAAGGTTGCTGAGTATCCTTGTCGCATATCCCGGTCTTAGAACTAGGATCAGCACTTAGAGCCGTTCTTCTATTCCAACTACGGAGTAGTCTAACATGGAGAAAGCAGCTAAAGTCTGACACCCTGCATCGTTGGCCCGGGTTCTGTCCGTGGCCTACACTACAAAGTAGGAGGGGTTTGAGGAGGGGCAATATGGAGGGGCAACTATTGCGAAGTCGTGATACGCCTGTTCAAGATCTGACCAGAAAGCTGACCAAATATGGGCCCCGCGACCCAGATTGACTTCGACTTTGTTTGGTCACGAAATCCTTGTGCAGCTTCGAGATGATAGGCCACTTTCACTTCAAGTACTAGGATCTGGCTACTCGCATTGCCTAGACCCGAACTAGACTTCAGGTATCCGACATATCACTAACGGTCTGGCCAATAGAGGCCAGCCACGGAAACGTGGAGTTCATTGAGCCATCATGATTGCGCCGCTACTCTCCGCACGCTAAGGTATCTCTATGCATAACCGCATAAGCCACGGTCTCACCCGTCCAGACTATTCCCAATGCAGCGCTCCTGCTGAGCTTCGAGATACTGCTGCAAGTCCGAAATGATAGGTGAATGGTCAAGAGATGGTGTGGTAGACCATATTCAGTTTTTGGTAGGTAACCGCGACGATATATCTTACATGTGTTACTCTTTCTTTCAGTTTTAAAGAGGGGACCCTCCCCCTCTTGTATAGAGTGTCCTCCTGTAAGTTGAGCATATCGTGGTACGACACTCTTCCGTCATCCCCTGCTCATAGTAGATCTCTTTATCATCCGAAACAATGCTATATAACAGTTTACCTCAAGACATTGAGGAGGTCGATGTTATCATCGCTGGAGGTGCGTGTGCTTTACGACCTTTCGATAAATAGTATCACGTTCCTCACATATATGAGTAGGGGGGACAGCAGCATGCATCGTCGCGGCCCGCCTGGCTGAAGCGGATCCCGGTTTATCCATCCTGGTGATCGAAGGAGGGCGAAATAACTATGGAGACCCCACTGTGGTGACGCCAGGAATGTTCCTCGCTCATCTCGCGCCTGATTCGAAAACTGCTCTGTTCTACCAAGCGATTAAATCGGACCATCTAGCAGGTCGGGCACCGGTCGTTCCGTCGGGAGGCATCCTCGGCGGGGGATCGTCTATAAATTTCATGATGTAGGCCTACCCTTGTCGATATGGACGAAATCGTCTACCAGCTGTTGACTTTACAAGGTATACGCGTGCCCAACGCGACGATTTTGATTCGTGGAATACTCCAGGCTGGACAGGCGAGGAACTTTATCCGTTTCTTCGCAAGGTGAGAAGATTCATTTCAATCACTGCTGATGCCTTGGAATAAAGGTTTTCAGTAGGGAATCGATTGACTAACTCTATAGTAGCTAGAAACTTATCATGGCCCAAAAGATGAGAAGCATCACGGTTCGAGCGGGCCAATTCAGGTTTCTGATGGTACATTGAGGGTTACGAGGGTGGAAGAAGATTTCCTGCATGCCGCAAATGCGGCCGGATGGCCAACAATCCCTGACTTGCAAACTCTCGATCATAACAATGGGTTCGAACGCTGGAAGCGATACATTTCACCTGATGCCAAGCGATCCGACGCCGCACATATGTATCTACACCCACGCCTTCGTGATGGCAAGCATCCCAACCTGCACGTTCTCGTCGAGTCGCAAGTCGTGCGCGTATTGTTCGATAAGGACAAGCGGGCTTCTGGTGTCGAATATCACCCGAATCCGTTGTTCCAATCCGAAAAAGGAGCTACGCCACCGGCAAAGCGCAGCATTCGTGCGCGTAAGCTAGTGGTAGTATCAAGCGGAGCTCTTGGTACACCGTCGGTCCTTGAACGTTCTGGCATTGGGCGTGCGGATGTCTTGGAGAAGGCGGGTGTGCCACTCGTAGAAGACCTCCCTGGAGTAGGCCACGACTACCAAGACCACCACTTGATATTATGGCCATACAGAACGGCACTGGAGCCTCACGAAACACTCGACGAGCTGATTTCCGGTCGGCTTAGCTTCGCAGAAGCTGTTGAGAAGAAAGATCCCCGGCTTGGGTGGAATACGATAGACATTGCCGGCAAGCTGCGCCCTACTGAAGAGGATATTGCGGCGCTTGGACCGAATCTCAAAGCGGCCTGGGACCGTGACTTTAAGGAGAAGCCGAACCGGCCGTTGGTGTTCATGGCAC